GACTAGAGGGAAGGCAGCTAGTCATCACCACCCACCGCCAACTCTTGGGCTACTCTTTTACCAACGAATAATGGGATTGACCGTCACATAGTAACGCCCCGAGCATGTTTGGTCTGACGGGGATTCGAACCCGCGACCCGCAGATTGCGAGTCGAGTGTCCTAACCACCTGGCCATGCCGGGCCTCGAGAATAAGAAGAGTAAAATGCTCAGTGGGAACAGAGCTATTTGGCGAAAAGCCTCAAAGTGCTACCATGCATTCACGTGTATTTACAAGCTTCCCTTGATGAATCAAATTAATATTGTAGCTAAATATAGGCGTAGGTTAAATTACATATATATTTTTTTGTTTTTCATTTCGAATTTATTTCAGGAAACATACAAACTCTTTACTTTTTAATCTTGTGACACTTTTCTTTAACCTTAGCTAATTTTATGAAGAAAAATTACGTTTCGGATAAAGTCTCAATTAAATGTTCTATTTTAAGATCTCCTTCTAGAATAAATAATTAAGTAATATCGGATTGACACTTGTGCTGTAATGTATAATGTCCACGTGTCCGGAGAGTTTGCATCTGTAAATAATAATAATACTGATGGAACATTTTTTTGTTTGATTAAACCCAAAACTGTGGTTGGTCCTTATATAGGGGTATTACGAAGGATACGATTCCAAAATCAACGCAGGAATTCGTACAGCATTTCAGAATGCAGCTTTTCGTTTTGGGCACAGTCTTCTTCCCGATGCCACCGACCGCTACAACAAGTTTCACGATAAACTCGGTAGGTGGCTGTATATTATGTTTTTATTTGTTATTTGTAAGCAAACGTATCTTCTTTCTGGGCACAACATCAATTTGCAAAAAAAACTAGGTAAGTATTGCTACTGCTCTTTTAGTTTTTCTTTACATTAAGACTCGTTTTTCCTTTATACGTATTTCTCTAGAGATTTCGTTTGTAGTAAGTACATATAGATTTAAAATGAAAAGGTGGATGGGAAAATATACTTAGCATTATGCTAACAACTATTACAAAAAACATTTCTTTATCTTCAGAATCTGTTCGTCTGGCGAAACAATTGCGACAACCCTACGATCTCTACAAACCAGGAATCATTGACAGCTTCATCATGGGATTGGTCAACCAAGAATCTAACAGAATGGATCCCGAAGTTACCACAGAGGTAACAAAACATCATGACTCAAGCTCAGCACATTCTCGACAGCAATTTAATTTTACGGTTAAAAGCTTATAACCAATAATTTTTAAACGTGAAAAGGAAATCAGGTTATGAACATAGTTGTGTATATATTTTATACACTTGCTATCATTATGGCAAAAATGCATGCAAAAGAAGAAAGAAGCATTTGTTTTTTCTTTGTATTTTGTAAGACTTTAATAATGTCACGTTTGTATTTGGGTAAAACTTAGTATAGTACTCATTATCAGGAAGTTTTTAACATAAAGATTTTAACAGAAAGTAAATAATACAGTAATTAATTATTCCTATATAAAGGACATTGTGATTCACATCTGAATGCGCTACGTTGCTTGTTCCTTTGATTGCCAACTGCATTTTTTAAAATTCGATATAAAAGAATTCAAATTTTTCTTAGCCTACCATTACTAGACGTATTACAATGTTTGTTTCCCAGGTAACCAACCACCTGTTTGAAAAGCCAGGCGAGAGATTTGGCATGGATTTGGCGGCACTCAACATTCAACGTGGACGGGAACATGGTATACCTGGTTACAATTACTACAGGGGTTACTGCGGTCTGCCAAAAGCACGCAACTTTTACGATTTAATTGGCGTTATGCCGAACAAAACTGTTCATCGATATTCCCAAATTTACAAGTAAGATTTTAATTTCAATTAATACTCAAAATATAATCTAAGTATATTTAGTTGCATTTAAATACGAATGTGGAAACGGGTTAAGTAAAAGAAAGAAAGAAGAATGATAACTGTTTTGGGTAAAAACTATTATATATATGGAATACGGAAATTTTCATGTCACTGTATATAATCCTACAGAGGCATAAGCTCTCATTTAAATTATTTTATCTTTAACCTTTCGCTCTTCTTTATTGTTCCTGTTCCAAAGATGTGTCGCCAATTTTCAAATAAATTTAATGTCCAAAAACATTGTTACATTTCTTCATATTTCCATAATGAATAACAGTTGTTTTGTGATATTCCTTTCGTGTAATTTTTTGTTATCTCAAGCGTTGTGTCAGTTTCCAGTTGTTAAATGCTTGTGCGTTTGTTTAAATTTGATAATTAATTCTGATTGGTCTTTCCAAAGAAGTTCAATTTAACATGTGTCAGATCATCCACGAAGGTCAATTGAAGATCTTGTCACTCACGCCACCTATTGAGTTTTTATCTAAATATAAATAGCTTTCTTTATTATGTTTTCTAACAAAGCCTTGATAATATTGACTTACGGCATTAAGAAGCTTTACGAATATTTATAATGCCAGTTATTTTAAGTGTGTATAAGTTAATAACAGTTGCCAATACTACCACAGGAGCGTTGATGATATCGACTTATGGAGTGCTGGTATTTCTGAGTATCCTTTGCCAAATGCCGTCGTTGGTCCAACATTCGCTTGTCTCATTGCTGAACAGTTTGCCAGTATAAGGCGTGGAGATCGCTTCTGGTATGAAAACTCGGGCTGGCCCTCATCTTTCTCACCTGGTGAGTAATAATCTCGTGCTCCACTAACAAATACGTAGATAAATACATAGTTTTCAACTTACGTATCGAAATTCTGCTGTACTTCGATTTGGAATACTAATTTCTAGAAAATACTTTGTTTTTCCTATTTCTATTAAGCTTAATGTTTCGGGATATCCTTCTGTGAGCCGTTTTGTTATTAGTAATGTAACAGTTCCCAAAGTATATATATATATGTGTGTGTGTGTGTGTGTGCGCGCGCGCGCGTGTGTGTTTGTATGTTTGTTTTTAAATTTGCACAAAGCTACACAAGGGCAATCTGGGCTAGTCGTCCCAATTTAGCAGTAATAGACTAAAGGAAAGGTACTTAGTCAGCACTATCCACCACCAACTTTTAGACTACTCTTTTACCAACGAATAGTGGGATTCACCGTCACATTATAACGCCTCCACAGCTGAAAGGGCGAGCATGTTCGGTGACGGGGATTCAAACCCGCGACCTTCAGATTGCGAGTCGAGCGCCTTAACCTTCAGGCCATTCTAGGCCGTGTGTCTATGTATTGCATATGTATTTCAAAAATATCTATATCACTTCGACTCATTTCCGGACTGCCAAGATGAAAAGGCTCCAAATTGTGTTATTATAAATAATAATAATAAACTCTTATATATTTGAACCAAATTGTGTTATTATAAATAATAATAATAAACTCTTATATATTTGAACCAAATTGTGTTATTATAAATAATAATAATAAACTCTTATATATTTGAACCAAAATTGTGTTATTATAAATAATAATAATAAACTCTTATATATTTGAACCAAAATTTAAATTTTAGCTATATTTGTCTTGGTGTTTTTCTAATAAAAATATTTCTTGTTAAATTTTTATTTTACTGTTTTTACAATAATGAACTCAAAAATGCATTGATGTTCTTGCACTAGAGATTATGAACACTAACTATTCTGTGTAGAATGAACGTGGTTAACATTTGTATAACTTTAACGCTGCTTTTTGTTGATTTTATGGTTTTTAATAAATCGCATAAATATACATACAGTCAGCCAAGAGGATCCAAAGAGTTGGCAGTGGATGTTGTTAGCTAGCAGTTTTCCCTCTACGATCTGTCAGTTTAAAAGCAGAGTCGACTATGAACAAATACCCCTTATGTATAGCTTTGCGCAAAAAATCTAAACAAAATTCGTTTTATTTTAACAAGGAAAAAAAACGAATAAGTAAACTTTGGGCCAGCGAAAAGCATAATTAATATATAAGAATCCCACCAAAATCGTGGGAAAACTTTTGTCATTGTGCGTAATTTTTATTAAAGCTAAACGTTATCTAATCATAATACTAGGATTAGAGATTGTTACTGATTTCTGAATATTTTAGAACAACTGCAGGAGATAAAAAATGTGATGTTGTGTCGGGTCATGTGTGACAATGCTGATGAAATGGAAACAATTCAGATTAACGCCATGTTGATTCCTCATCAAACAGAGTAAGTTTACTTTTCAGATTTCCTAGGTGATGAAATTATATATTTTGAATTATTCCTCATTAAGCACATATTTTTTTTTCATTTGAAATCTTCTAATAGCTCTTTTAAACCCCTCAACAAATAGAGTAAGTTTATCTTTTAAAGCCTTTAACAGTTAAAGTAATTTAACAATTTCCTTACAAGATAAAGGTAAGTACGAGTTTTGAATCAAGACACACGGTAGTGTGTCTTGCAACCGAAAAACAACCTGCAGGACATACTATGTGTTATTAGCAGGAGTGATATTTTAGCGATTTTTCCGCCTTCTATAGCTGGGACTGTGGTAATCCAAACTATCACATATTTTCAGTGGATGTGCTCTACTGGACTATTACTTCACATACCAAATTTCAAGGCAATCCATTAAGAAATACCAATTTTGATTGAGTTTATTCCTGTTTTTTTTTCTTTCCACCAAAAGTACAGAAACTTTATTTAATAGAAAAACATATTTAATTTTTATGGATTTTTTTTTCAAATTTGGTACACTGATATATCATTACAACCTACAATTAGCAGTCTCATTTGGTGTAATTATAAGTCACGTGTACAAAATTATTCAACATTTTTGCGCACGCCTACGCAAACAGTCACGTGAGCTATCAGTCTAACGTTCTTACTACAGCTTCACATAAGAATAAAAGTTTTTGTCATTTGAATTAAAGACGGTTGATTTAGAGCAGCAAAACTATAAGTGAAAGGAGGTGCAGATACATAAGTATCGATTAGGCCAAGCAAACTAGATTAGCAGTTTCTAGCTCAAGTTTTCAAAAGAATCATACAGGTGAACGTTTATTATTGATTATTCATTGCCTACTTTTCAGCACAAATTTACTAAATGTTATGAAATTATCCTAAATAAAGAGCGTTTAGCGTCACGTGATATTAGCTTAAGCAATTACCATAAATAATAATTCTTAATACGGCTGTACCGATTGCGGGGGGGGGGGGTGATGACAAGAAACTGTTAATCTAAATTCCACGGCGTTAGTAGAAAGGAAGCTATTAACCAAAGTTCTTGGGGCATGATGGTGGGTAAAACAAAATACGCGGCCTAGCTAACTAATGGATGAATATTTGCTGTAAAATTCTTATCAATTCTTTAAGTGTAGCTACCACTTTGGCCGTCAATTGTGATTTCATTCCCTTAAGTCGCACGCTCAATCCTTTTTTGGCCGCACCTTTTTCACACCTAAGGTGTTTTTGATTAGATTCCTCATAAGAAGAATTAAATTTATCTTTTGAATCTCTCAACAGATAGAGTAAGTTGATAACAGAAAGAATAACCTGAGCTTTTAGAATCTTCATCACAGTAAGTCAATCTGTTAAATTATTTATCAAGACAACAAGTTTATTTGTTAATCTCATCAACATGGGAGATAGGCTTATTTATTGAATTCCTCATCAAGCAGAATAAGTTGAAATTTTGGAAACCCCAATCAGCAAATGTGGATTTATTTGGTGAACTCATCGTAATAAAAGGTAAGATAATTTACCGAATTCTTCATTAAACAGAGTAACTTAATCTATTGAATCCGCATCAGGCAGTATAGGTATCTTGTTCTGATCTTAAGTTAATTTATTTGTTGAACTCATCATCAAGTAAGGTAAACTGAATTACTGAATTCCTCATCGGACAGACTAACTTAACTGTTGAATTCGTTAACAAGCAGTGCGATTTTATTTACGAATAAACATTATTGGTTAGTCCATGCGTTATAGTATATATTAATATCTCAAACAGTAGCACAGGTCTTTACCATTCAATCGTAAACGATATAGACATATTAAGTTTAAAAATTTATGAAAATTATTGGTATTAGCTGTTTTGCCCATGTTTTTAGTCTGTATAGTGGTGGACATGGCCTAGTGGTTATCAAGCTCGAATTATGAATCGAGAGACTATGATTTTCGTTCTGTTGCCAAAAAAAATGGCCAGGTGGTTAGGGCGCTCGACTCACAATCTGAGGGTTGCGGGTTCGAATCCCCATCCCCCCAAACATGCTCGCCCTTTCAGCCGTGGGGGCGTTATATGTGATGGTCAATTCCACTATTCGTTGGTAAAAGAGTAGTCCAAGAGTTGGAGGTGGGTGGTGATGACTAGCTGCCTTCCCTCTAGTCTTACATTGCTAAATTAGGAACGGCTAGCACAGATAGCCTTCGTGTAGCTTTGCGCGAAATTCAAAACAAACCAAACCGTTGCCAAAAAGGAAAAAATCTTACTATTCACTTTGGGACTATAGTTGCACTATAAGAGTGATGTTTGGCGGTGAATACTGTTGACTAGCCGCCTTCCCTTTTCTAGCTTTATGTAAATATCCTAAAATCAAATAAACAGGCCTTTGGGTGCACACTGATATTTCATCTCATATTGTAGTGACAGAGGATTATATGCTTAATGTTTTTGCGTTATGTTAAAACAGCAAATTTAGATTGCATGCTATTTTTATGAAATACTAGCGTATAACCCGTCAAAAAGGACGGGGTAAGTACTACCACCCCCACCCCATAGTATACTCTAACCTCACATTTAATAGCAAACCGAAATAAATAAATTTTGCGAAATCAACCTTGACCAACAAAGAAGCAGAAATGCGCAGTCGTGGCAGTCAAACGTCGGTAAATTCCTTTGTGAGGCAATCAAGATTAAGGTCATTCAAGAAATGAATTAGTGGCGTATTCATAGAATAACTATTGGTAAAGATCGGTTAGATTAACAACTTCTAATATATAGAAAACCAATGCGTTTTGATAACATTACGTTCCAAGAATAGCTTTTATATCATGTTGCTTAGCAACAAAAGTATACCCTAATATTGTTGTTAGTCTATGTACTGAAAGTATAAAATGAAATGTGTAGACAACAAGACTAGAAAAATATTTGCTGATTTCTTAATTTAGTCTCCGTTGATTAAAGATGTTTTTTTTTATTAAAAACGTTGGTAACATAACAGAAAATAGCTTAATTCGGAAACGATATATGTTTTTGCTTTCATGATAAATGTTATGCACTTGGCTCTAGACTAGGTTATCCCACACTACGTCATCACTCTAGGTTTATCATACCAACATTCACTGCACTTATAAGGTTTCACTGCACCCACCTCCCCTTGCACCCCCGTCACTAAAATCGCAATGGACACACAGTAATCGAACTATTCAATCAGGATAAATACATTTGAGCTTTTATAATTTCTATTTCGAAAAATCAAGCGTGACGTGACATACAGGGGCTTTTTATATAGGTTAGATGGCATAACGTGCACTGAACCAGTTTTTAAACTTTACAGGTTGGAAATTTCTCAAAAGCTGTACTACTTTTTGCTTCGACAACTTTAGATTTTTGAGAGAAAAAATCTTTAAGTAAGGTTAAATTTCCTATATATTGTATAGAAGGACACAGAAATTTCCCCATGTAACATAGGATTTTCAATTTGCATTTCCCTATTTAAACATAGTTCTCTTAATTGATGCTAACAACATTGGACTTTCTACCCATCTTTTATCGTATCATAGCTGGTGATAAAGTTTTAATAGCATTACGTTTTCAATTATCAGAATTAAACATAAATTTATATATTTCTATTTTGCTAGTCCTTGAGTGATTTTTCTTCCTCTCTCTTTTCAGAAATTCGCGTGTTGAATGTCATGGTAATGCCATTCCCCGTATGGATCTAACAAAATGGGCAGATGTCAATCACTACAAAAAATAAGAAGACATAATAATTACAATATTATGGCCAATACTTATTTTACCCTCGTTCTTAAAGTACTATTTTATACAATAATTTGATTAATATATTCTATAATTCTGAATATATGAAACAAAAAACGTAATTAATTTTTTTTAAATACCTTAGTAGCAAATAGATGTATTTTATATCGATGGTTCTTGAGGTTTTGAAAAAAAAAGTTTATAAGACCCATTTTTTCTGTTATTTTATGAAATCGAGGTTCCCGTATACTTTAGTTCTAACTGAAAGTTAGTGGATGGCTTTTATTAAGCTTGATAACCTGCAACAAGAACCTGGATTAACCTAAAGCTTCTGCCATGAAATGAAAAACACAAAAAGAAATTCCTTTATATATTTTAGAATATTTAATCATTCTTTTTGTTGAGAATTTTCCTTGAGACTTTGTGCGTCATAAAAATGTCCAAGTGTTAAAATATCATTCGAAATATAAGCGTATCTATATTTAAAAAAGTCGAAGCGACGGGTAATATTTGCGAAAAATGTTATTTTATTATTTTAAACCACAGTTGTATGTTACTAATTGTTAACCACATATTCAAACCATGATTTGAAATGTAACTCGGTTAACTTATTCTGTTTCTACCGTAGAAATATAACAATCAATGCTTACGGAATTAAAATAATAAACGACTTTTAATCGCGATTTTTTTAAATGTCAGCTAGCGCCCCAAAAGTTTACAACGGGTGGAAAGTTGTATATTTTAAAACAATATCTATCAACGAAACTGCTTTCGCTGTTTCTTGCTGTCCAAGATATTGAGAATTAAAAGTTTAAGTGCTCAAAATTTGTATTTTTACCGGTTATAATTAAAAATGAAAAGTAGTTTTATTTTTATTTTTTTTTATGAGGCTGTACAGTAAATCCTGTAAATAATTGTATATTTTTCGTGTTCCACAGCCAAAAGTTCTGTAAGCATATGGCTTTGATAGCCAAGCCATAAATTAATAACACAAAGTTTTGTAAATAACATACGAATGTGTTTGATATAAATGTGGTGTGGACGTGCGAGTTTCAATGGTTAAGTTTTGGGGAATTTATACAGTTTCATTATATTACTTAACAGTCTATGAATTATTTACCACATAACGGGTGGATCAAGTCAAAAATTACCAAATTAATTTCCTCTAAGTAAAATAAACTAATCTTAGAGAAAGCCACCTCCTACATCTAACATACTACTTTAAGTGGTTAAAGTAATGAAAATGAAAACTATTAATCTCTTCAAAAACTACTTTAACACTCTATTGTACACTGTAACGTACAGGTAACAAATCTATCATTAATAGACATACAAATGATTCAATTTTGTGGTTTAATGTTCTTACTACCAGGTAACAGTCTAAATAAGCCATGGCATCATTTTTGTTGGTTCCTTAAGGTAATGCACAGACTTACAGCTTGCCAAAACATTTTTTTTTTCTTCCAATATAGACTTATTTAATAAGAATTTCAAAGAAAAAAGTTACACTGTACTTTTATAATGCTTGTAATAGAGGGTTAATAAAGTGTCAACATTTAAAAACACATGTAGCAACTAAAGTATGGATGTTGCGAGGGGAAAATATGTTTTTGTTCTGAAAAATTCATGTATTGTGTACATAAAATGACATTTATGTAGTATTTTTTATTATTCCATTAAAATATAACCCTTGAAAGTTAAAAATATTAGCTTTGGTTTGATGTTTTACCTGCACTTAAAAAAACAAAAAACATGGCATTTCAATTATATAGTCAACTGTTGTGTTCAAGAATAAGTAGCTTTGGTTCACAGACCTGATGTTCATGCAATGGAAATGAATAATTTTAGGGTATGTTTTATAGTTAAGCACAAAGCTACACAATGGGCTATCTATGCTTTGCCCACCACGGGTATCAAAAGTAGTTTTCTGCCATACCACCTATAAATATTCCAAACTACATTGCCATTCATCTTTTCCAAGGTTGCTGAAGACCAAATGGTTAACAATTGGCCACATCTCTGCCAGAGTAGCTACCTGACTGTGTAGCTAATTTTCAAGCAGCATTGATCATATTTCATTCTAGGCTTTTTATCTTCAGCCATTCTTCTGTGCAGCTTCATAAAACTCTTTTTAGGAAGAAAAAAGCTAATGAATCCTGAATTTTGCTTAAGCTGGACTGTCACACCTCTAGCTGTGAATCTGGGAACATCAAAGAACCTACTCCATTTCTAAACTATTGTCTCTGATGTCAGGAGAATGTATTAATCCTCCCATTACTTTTATGGATCCACATCTACTTCTAATAGTTCATCTAAATTCATAAATAGACTACCTTGTTTCTTCCATTCTGTAACCCTGACTGATATGATTTTCTCTCACAAAACCAGTTCTTACATTACATGTTGCACTGTACTAAATCAAGCAGTGGACTTCTCTGAACAAACACTTCTGATGAGTTTCCATAGTACTGTAGTATCTACATTAAGAGTGTCATAGTCCTTTTGAGCAATGACTGGGTGTAAGTCTTCCCAGACAATCCAGTCAAATACTTGAAAAATCACACTATAAAGCAAATATCTGATGTGTTTAATAAACCCCTTGTTTGAAAGGTTTCTACTGACAACAAAGTATCAATAAATTAAAGGTTTTGGACTTTTCAGGTACAGTTATGAGCACTCTTTTAATGGCTAAACTTTGAAATAAGAAAGACAAAGTGGTTCATTATATGACTTACAGACCAGTATTAGCTATGTATTGGTACCATAACGTGTTGCTTATGCATGTGTGTAGGAGCTATGCTAGTTACAAAATGGTCAGATCACAAAAGAAACTTGAATGAAGTATACAGTAAGAATATCCTGTAATGAAAATACACATTGAATGAACCACAAACACCAAACATGGGCATTATGGCACACTGTGGATTGGGTGTGCATACCATATTGCCATGGAATGTAAATGAAGCCTACCCATTATGTGGAGAAACCTGAATGGCTATCATAATGAAATGCAGGTGGACCATAGAGCATCCCCCCACTATGAAAGTTATATGAACTCATCCTATAGCAGTTGTTGCTCATGACAGTAGTACAAAAAAGTACAGCACAAATATAATGCCAAATGAAATGCCTCTGGCAGTGAAATTATTGGCAGAAAAAAAAAGTGTGAACTATATAACAAAAGGTGATCCAGTTGAGCCCTTGCCAACAACCTGGATAAGAAAGCAGACAAACATGCAACAGCTAGAAAGGTGTGAAGCAAGATGAGTCAGTGTAACCCTGGAAAATGTGTAACTGTTAGGAAATCACTCATGTAGGGAAGAAACCCTAAAAAATTTACAATATTTAGTATCAAAGGACTGGAAATTGTAAAAATGGTGCAGTGTGGGAGCCTAGTGGAGATTGGTGGTGCTTCAACTGTAGCAAATACACTTTATTCAAATGAAATTCATATTCCAGCAGGACAATGATCCCAAACATATGGTTGATATTATAAAACATTACTTGAAACAGAAGGAGAAGGATGGATGGACCTAGATCTAGTTGGTACAGTTGCTCAACTCACAATCTGCAGGTCAAAAGATCAAAACTTGGTGCCAAACATGCTCACCCTTTCATCCATGAAGGCATTATAATATGATAGTCCAACCCCCTATAAGTTGGTAAAAAGTTCACAGTGGGTACTGCCAACCAGTTGTCTTCCATGTGGTCAGTAATTAAAAATTAGGAACTGACAGATAGCCTTAGTAGCTTTGCTATGAACAAACAGGATGGAACCTTTAAATGTTTACTAACATGGTCATGTTCTAACATGAACATTAGTGAAGGTGGCTGGGGATACATGGAGGTTTAAAAGGTTAAACACTGCCCAATAAATTATGGGTAGTACTTCAGGATGTTTGGAAAAATATTCCATGGTAAGAGTTCTTACACTGATGCCATATGGCATGCTCTAGTATTGTACTATGGAAGTACAGTATATTAATGATGCTGTATAAACATTTCTTGTGCCATGCATCGGCTTTTTGTGTGTTTTTTTTACAGTTAAATCAGTTAAATAAAATACGCTGTGTTGTATGAGATTAAATGTTTTGTAGTTTAGACTTTCAAATGTTTTATTACTTTGTACTCTTTTAAAGCCAAATGCCTGAATTTTCATAAGTTCAAAAACAGAAATATGTACAAGCAATTCCTATATCTCCTAGGTAGTAAAGTTTCTTGGTACAAATGTGAAAGAGTACAGGTAATTCTTTACTGTCAAAAGTAATTTGTAATTGTTTTTTCTCATAAAAGTAGCCCTCCCCAGTGGCACAGTGGTATGTCTGCGGACTTACAACCCTATTAACCAGTTTACCTTCATCTAGTAGACAAATGTAAATAATGTGTTCTGCTGTCTTCTTTAAGCAATACTTGATAGTCAACTAGCACTGTATATGTAGGGCAAAGGAGTCATGAATAAGGTTAAAATGAATTTGGCATGACCTCCAATGTCATTTCACACTATACACACACCCAGTTCACACTATCAAGCATGTACAGCAAATGACATTAATAGGCTATGGATGAATGAGTACAGAATACTTGTTTGGTGAGTGGAATCTCTCAGTGTCAAACAGGTTAACCTTCAAATTCCAAATCTGAGCTATGGAAAATTTTGGCTATTTCCTGTTATGCACACAACTTTCACACAACAAAACCTTACAGTCATTAGTAAATATTTTATGTTGAGCTGTAAATGTTTGCTATTTGTGAAGCAGTTCATGAGTCTTTCCTGTATCACATACCTTGGATTATTGATAAGTTACTTAGCTGTCATGTATCAATATTTGGCTCATTGCCGATTTGTTTTTTGTCAGTATTCAGAGGAATATCAACACAGCAGTTTCCTCACATTTGCCAATTTATTTCTCAGAAATATCAAGTTTATTGTAAAAAATGTAACTCTCTTGATATTACTCACATATGTAGAAAAATTAGGAATTATACTAAATTACTAAATTATTCATCAAGACTTAATTATTCAAACTGCATCAAAAAATATTTGTTACATTCTTTCAAATGTACCTTCTATATTTTGTTTCTTTAAACTCAATACAAATTTATGTAAAAAATAATATTAACATATGAATTCAGAAGTACAACCCCTATTAAAAAAACCTGTTGGGATATGTTGCTTGGTAAGTTATTTAACTTGAATTTAATTAGCTCTGTAAATGCTCTATATAAATGGCAAGCAGTTGAGTAGAATATCTTTACAACAGAATAATGAACACAAAGCTAACCAATGATAAGCCTTTATTTACAAGTATTATACTATTTTCAATAAAAGTTTTCTTAAGTCAATGATCATTACATAGGAGGAGGAGACATCAATGACCTGTAGAGTCTAGGAATAGATACCAAATGCACATAGATAGGATGCACATAGTGGGAGTAAATACATTGGAAACATCAGAGGATAGCAAAACCACTCTATGAAAAGGATCCACACCTAGGCAAGATAGTCTATCTGTCATCAGTGCCTGAACCTTCTTAACATGATACATCAATAACTTAACATGATGGTTGTGTGGTCAAAATGAGAATTCCATCTCAGGGAAACAGAAGTTGTAGGAGAAAGTGCCTCTCTGTCAATTGAAGAAAAAAAAATAGGAGTGTCTGAATGGATCATAATAATCTGATACAGAAACCTATGGCAAGCCTGGAAGTAGTCACCAGCTCAAGGATGTAGGGACAGAGAAACCCTGCCCCTGTAGACCAAATGTCAAAAATGGATCAAGCATATAGAATTGCACCACACCAGAACAGAGGCAGTGGAAAGGTGTGATTGTAGGGCTGATTGGTGACAATAACAAAGCCAACACAAAGTGCTATGCTCACCACATATATAAGCAAAAGGAGCTCATAAACTGAATTCCAAACCCTGGATGGCTCCACACAGATGAAATTGTGAGTGAGGTTGTGGGAACAGGGACATCCAAGATCATGTGGATCAAGTGAGTCACCACTACAGCAAGAGGATGAAAATAAGACAAAGACAGCGTGTATCTCTTGAGATATCTACATTTAAAAGCTAGAAACCACAAAACAGAACATATATGGAGGCATCTAAGAGGAATGAGAGATTCAAGACAGTCCCCCTCCCCCCCTCCCCCCAAAAAAAGACACGTGCAAGTAATGGAGACATGAAAACCCTGGTATATAAAGAAGACTGAGCCTGAAATGAAAGACACACATAAATTAACAATAGAGGTTATGACTGAAATGGAGAACTGAACCAGCTATCCCAAATGAGATGAATCCTGAAGGAGAAGTGATACCAAAATAGAGGAAGTCACATTGGTTAGGATATATAAAGGCTAAACATCTATAGAATAGTGAAATAAGCCTCAAAAAGTAACCCATTAGACCAATAAAGATGGGGATGTAGCCAATTCAAAGGGAAGGACTGAGAATCAAATGTAGAACCATTGCAGATGAACCAAAGGAAGCAAAAAGAGGGCAGACAAATTGGAATATGAAGAAAGCATCTGAGACTCTGAATCAGTCATCTACCATCAGGGGGAGTATCCACTGGAGAGTGAGAAACTGCCCATCAGGAAATGACAAAAGATAAAAGTTGGGTCAAGTGGGACAGACTGATTGTTGGTTGAAAACCTCCAATCTTCATTGTAATGATAAAAAAGATAGGAGTAAAACCCCAGATTGAGGTTGAGGAATGGTCTGAAGGCATTTGAAACATGCAAGGTGGAGAGTAGAAAGACAAGAAAAACCCATGATAAAGTAGCTGATGAACTCTGTAGGTTATAGCAAGGAAAGTCCACCACTGAACAAAATGGATGAGTAGGACTGGAGCCAAGGGGTGGTTTCAGAAACGAATCACTTCCAAGACCAATGATGACCAGCCTACAAAGAAGACTGTGGATAGTAACAAGAGGGAAAATAACAGAAAAGGTAGCAACCCCACAAAGTTCTATACAATGAAAAACCTAATAGGTCCCCTTGGTCCCAAATCAAAGTTACAAGAGATGACCACTGAAGAGCAACATCAACTTATGATACCAACATATAAGAGTACTCAATAAACTACATCACAAAGAAAAGGTGCAAGATAAAAGTCCTGGAGAGGAGACTGTGGGAGGCAAATGTCAGAAAGTAGAACAACTTGACAAAGGACATCCAATAAATAAAGAAACCAGAGTAACTGGGACAAATGGAAGAAAATCGAGGGCAATGTGGAAAACAGAGATGTGCAAGTTGCTTTTTTGAGGCTGATATAGTCATGATGGAAAGCCTTTAAATTAAGATAAAGCATGCAAATGAACAAAGAAGCTGAGTAAGAGATGAAGACAAGTAAATAGACAGAATGAGAAAGAAAGAAAAAAAGAAGGTCCCTAAGCTGAAATAATCAGGTAAAAGTGGATCATGCAACAATGAAGTCCTAGAATCAGTGAAAAATAACTGGATAGTGAGAAAACAAAAGACACATTCCTGTGAACTCCAAGCAGCAACAGATGAACATGGAACTACCAAATCCACACTGGGAAAAGGGAACAAGAAGCAAAAGCAGGCATGGAAACAACAGTGGTGAAACACATGATGAGGTATGCTCAGCTTGTACAACAAGGTTGAGAATCCTGGATCAAAGATCATAATGGAACCAACCATATAATACACAATGGTGGTAACATAACTGATCATCAAAGTGTCTCCCTTTGCCACTGCAGTATTGGATGACTCCTGTGTAAGTTTTAAAAACCTCAGGAGATGTCAGAAACATGGGGACATGGATGTACAATCCAGTTAAACTGTTAAAAGTATCCAGGTATAGCAATGATGTGGACCTAATAATGGCTTTAAAGAGTACTGGGTGGTTTGGTTGTTTTGAATTTCATGCAAAGCTACACTGTGCTAGCCGTCCCTGATTTAGCAGTCATAGACTAGAAATAAGACAGCTAGTCAACACCACCCACCAACACCTTTTGAGCTACTCTTTTAGCATCAAATAGTGGGATTTGACATCACATTGTAATGCCTCCAGGACTCAAAGGAAGAGCATGTTTGGTGACAGGGATTTGAACCCACATCCCCAAATCATGAGTTGAGCACCCTAACCATCAGGCCATGCCAGTACTGAATGAAACTTCATGTCTGATTAAACAAAGAAAACAGATAATGTGATGCTTCCCCAAAAGAACAAGGTTGATTAAAAGAAAAAACTTTAAGTTTAAATATAGTATCATTCTTTCATACAATCACAAAAATCATGGAAAGAAAGACAACATAATGAATAGTAATGACAGGTTAAAACAATAAAAAGCAAGAATTCTGGTAAATCTTATGAAAAACACATCTGAAGACAAGCAGTGTTGAGGCAAAAAATGAGCCTTTGTTCACTTGCTAATGCTAATGGGGATTACTGCACATGGAGGACATGATGACTTCTTATTGGTGAAAGGCTACAGTCTAACGATGATTAGGTCATAGACTAGCACAATACACATTCACATGCATAGGAGTAAGAGCTCGGTTAGACGATTGTGACATGTGCAGAAATTTACATAGCAGCACACAAAGTAATAGCTCTTTGTGGTAGAGAGAGGTGAGTAGCATTTCTGATAAAGCATTAAGTGTCAGAGTCAGACTAATGTCATTTCAAAGACATATTTTGAGTATAAATACTTTTGAAACACATCTAATTTTTTTGTACAACAAACTTGTACATTTTACTGTAAACTTCCCAGTTTCATGTAGATACACATTGTAAGTTAAAAATTATAGTTAACATTCTCTCTCCAATATGGGGTCAGCACATTCAGTTAATGTAGCATAACGGAAAGTTTGTAAAAGACTTAGTATTTCACAGTTACTTGAATAAAAATAATAATAAAATTCTATACATATATTTGCAGCTTTGAAATCAGTAAACAAAAGTAAGTAAATAATCTCCACCACATATGCTGTGTGGATGAATCTTTATTACTTGAATGTTTCTCTAACATACAGAAATAAGATTAAAGGTCATGCCATTTTACTCTCCATATTATTATTATTATAATTTTTAAACACATTTTTGGTAACCAAAGACATACTTAATTTACTTAACCTAACTGACAGAGGTTTAAATTTACTTTGGGTTGAGCATTCTACAAGCATATAAAATAATCATGCATAGCAGATTCATCAGATACAGTAGTATTCTCATTTCTGGTAGGATTGAGAAAGCATTAATTACAAAGCTGATATTGGCAACAGAGTTAGCTGTATACTTTGTCTCTAATATATTGTCTACCAGAGTGCATAAGGATTAAACTTTAGTCACTTAATTTTATCAATGTTGTCCGAGTATTGACTATAAAAACATTAGTACATTTATAACTGTACCTTAAATTAAGACTTAAAGAACTAAAATGCACTCCAATACCTTCATAATGTTTAAAATATATAATTCTTGACTATTGATAAATACATACTTTCTTTTGTATATGTGAAACAAAGATGCAACAATCTTTGGTTTCCAAAACTAGTTTGTTACAGTTTTCCCTTTAAGCCTATTGATAAGTGTTCTAAATTATCCACCCATTTGTGCATAAGCTACCATTTCTTTCTTCTCAGCTAGTATTTGCCAAAATTGTTTCATAGCTTCATCTCAAAAAATAAATAGCATGGTCATATATATATATGAGCTTCAACTTAAAGTTTGTTGATAGTTCATGAAGCAGTTGTATGATCAGATTTTAAATTTGATATTGGTTACATTTTTGTAGAGTGTAACATCCTGGTATTAAATATAGAGGAAATCAATTGTTCTGTTATCTGTGACTTCTAGTGCTTTTTCAAAATTAGAATTAATGCAATGGGTTTTCAGTTTACTTTCATTTGAGATTTCTAATCATAAATGAACACAAAATTAAATTTAGATATTCAGGCAAAACATAACTTATGTACTTTGATCATAAATTCACAAACTTAAACTTGTCAGAGCCCTTCATCAGTTAATTTGAAGCTATATCAACTCACAAGTTCCTTTAATATTTAGTACTTATTGAATAACTTAAATGTGGTTTATGATTTCCTTTTTTCATAAATGTCAGTTCTTTAAAAACAATTTAAATCTGATGTGCCTAATCATTTGCATCTACTTATAACAAAATTGAAATTGATTTTCATTGCTTAAGACCTTTCACTTTTTTAAAGTGAGTTTAAACAATTTTTCAAGCATAGCAGTTTTAGTTATTTGTCTTTGTGTGTCATAATTTTGATATTTTGTCTTTGCATTCACTGCTTCTCTCTGTCTTTGGATTTCCTTATACAACTGTTGCAAATGTCCATGAAGAGTTCAGCATTATTAAAAAAAAACTATCAGGCAAAATTTAAGATAAATCAGTATCTCATATTTTAATGTTATTTTACTGAAAAGACTTGTATTTCTTTCAAGAAATAAAAAAAAACATAACAAAGATTTTATTGTCTCAACATTTATTTCTATAACTTTTCAGACTGTTTTCTTTTATTTTCAAATAAATGGTTGGCATGGAAATACAAGTATTACCTTTAATCACACTTCATTTTATTTAAATAAATTCTTAGTTGGTTTGTACTATTTAATGATTTAAGTTATAAAGAACACTAGCCTTCTTTTAGTAAGTTTCACCTAAATAAAAACCATTTAATTCTAGTTTTGAACTTTCATACCTCAACAGATTTTTGTAAACTTTCATTTTTCTGCTGATTCACTAATTAATTTTCTTTATAAATACTAAAAAATACATAAATGAAATTTCGACATTACTTTAGACTTTATTATCCCCTTATTTTCCTGTTATTTGCCTGAACATTATCTTTTAGTGAAATATTGACCAACTTACATACATAACTTAGACATACCACTAAAGTTTACATTGAAATCACTATTGTTAAACTATAATTTTGAGTAAAATATTCTAGCCCCATATTGAACTAAACACTGATTAAAATTTTACAAGTAAAAAAAAAAGACATATTTATTAATCCCTGAATTCCTGTTAACTCATTTAAGATGTTTTTATCAGAACTGGAAAACTAATTGCACATTTAATGTTGTCTACTTAAACTTCTTCAATCATTTGTTAGATCAATAATCTAAGTCGTGATTATTTCATGGATGCATTATCTTAACTTTTCAATATGCAAGCTATGTTATAAAGGGACTTAAAATTCATATTAATTACTTCTGAGTTAATACAAAAACAACAATAAACTGTTACAAACTATGCAAATTTTCCCTGACTATTTCTGACAATGTTTTAATGTAATTTTCTTCTTAGTAACACTGTGAATTCTACATCTTGAAAAACAATGTATCCTGTGTATTTCATATAAATGATCTTTATGGTTCTAATAATGTAAAATAATTTTGAAACTACATACATTACATGTACATACCTCAGTTATTCTCACATCCTCTGGCATTATCCTTTCATTAAGTAGAACTGCATGTACATTGTACAGCTCAAAAGGGTAGTGCTGGTCAGTTTTATACTCAACAGTTTTAAGCTGACAATAGTTTAAAGGCTTTGCTGTATGTGTTACATAAATAGTAGATCATTCAAATTGTTTTATAAACAGAATAATGAATGCTTTGAAAAACTGTTCTGTCATATATGTTCAGCAGTAGTACTTACAAGGGAGGGATTCACATAGCAAAAATGTTTCTTTGTTCACTCTTACAACTGTTTCTACAATGCACAATTTTTGATCACTGAGAGTATCTCTACAGATTTTTTAAAGTACATCCAAACTACAGGGTAGAAATTTATCTGTTTCAAAGTCGAGACAATTATACACATAGCACAAATATTGCAGCTTGATTCTTTCCAAATGCTGGATTCTTTATCTTTCAGCCACTGCAAAACTAAATGTTTAGTATTTCTAATAAAATGCAACAAAAAAATACCCATACACCAAATTGTGTGAAAAAAAAAGAAGTCTTCAAGGCAAAGAATTATTTGTGATCTGCACGTAGAAGTCCTACAGGTAAATCTGTAGTATTTGTTGTATTTTAAACAGTAGCAGCAGAGAAGAAACAGTTCAGAAATGGGTGACTCATTCCACATTGATATTTGAGTCACTATCCTCCTATAGTTCATTCTAAAATAGCCATCAAGAAGTCTTAATTATCTCCTTGATCATATCTTCCTCGGGTCTAAGAAAGAACAATAATTTATTAATTTTTACATATAAAATATAAAATGCTATGTTGCTACTTTAAAAGAATACATGTTAGATTCTTTACACAATTGCTAAATGTCTTTAAGTAAAGCATGCACCTACCCTATGTCTTAAAGCTACATTTAGAAGCTTATGATTATGTACATCTGCCTTCATACTACAAGCAATGGCCTAAGATTAGGTATAATTATCTAAGTTAGAGCTAGCATTGTGTGCTTAAGGTACATCTCTCTACAAGCTACAGTAACTGACCTAGACGTACATGTCTTCAGAATTCAGCTAGTAGTCTATGCTTACAGACACAGTTCTTCCTCCTACAGGCATAACTTGGGTTTAAAGTACACTTACCATTAAGCTACAGCTAGAAACCTAAAAACATTCATTGTAAAGAAAAAAATTCAATTTAAAGTGAACTTAAACACACCAGTCTGAAACTATGACTAATATAATGGACTGTAGTACAATAGTCTTCAATTTATTGTTCTTGGTTTGGGCTTTATAACAACTGCCATTTATAGTTCTAAATAATACCCTCAACTTAGGTACATTTGTCCTAGCACTACAAGTATTGTTTAATGCCTCTGAATACTTCTCACACTACAGCTATTGTCCTAGAATTTAGGTTTACCTGTCTTTCAATAAATCAAATGGCATGGATATAGGTACACCTATGTTTAAGCTAGCACCAATAAGCTAGATCTCAGTATTCCTATCCTTTACCTAAACTTCTATATATACATGTAATCATGATCAAAAGTATGCTTGTTCTCAGGCTTGTTTTCAGTGGCCAAAACATGCCAAGCTTTAACTAGTGGCATGGATCTAGACACACTTGTTTTCAATTTTTAACTAGTGGCATGGATCTAAGCACACTTTTTTTCAAGCTTTAACTAGTGGCATGGATCTAAGCATACTTGTTTTCAACATTCAACCAGTGGCATGGATCTAAGCACACTTGTTTTCAAGCTTTAACTAGTGGCATGGATCTAAGCATACTTGTTTTCAACATTCAACCAGTGGCATGGATCTAAGCACACTTGTTTTCAAGCTTTAACTAGTGGCATGGATCTAGACACACTTGTTTTCAATTTTTAACTAGTGCCATGGATCTAGACACACTTGTTTTCAATTTTTAACTAGTGCCATGGATCTAAGCACACTTGTTTTCAAGCTTTAACTAGTGGCATTGATCTAAGCACACTTGTTTTCAAGCTTTAACTAGTGGCATGAATCTAGACACATTTGTTTTCAAGCTTTAAATGGTGGCATGGCTCTAAGCACACTTCTTTTCAAGCTTTAACAAGAGGTATGAATCTGAGCACACTTGTTTTTGAATCTAGCCACACTTGTTTTCAACCTTTAAATAGTGGCATGGATCTAAGCACACTTGTTTTTGAGCTTTGATTAGTGGCATAGAACTAGACACACTTGTTTTAACTAGTTGAACACATGTAGGAACACTTGTTTTCAAGATTTAAGTAGTGTCATGGATCTAGACACACTTGTTTTCAACCTTTAAATAGTGGCATGGATCTAGGCCACTTGTTTTCAACCTTTAAATAGTAGCATGGATCTAAGCACACTTGTTTTCAAGATTTAACTAGTGGCATGGATCTAGACACACTTGTTTTCAAGCTTTAACCAGTGGCATGGATCAAGGCACATTTGTTTTCAAGCTTTAACCAGTGGCATGGATCAAGGCACATTTGTTTTCAAACTTTAACTGGTGATGAGGATCTAGGCACACTTATTTTCAATCTTTAACAAGTGGTTTGGATGTAGGCTCACTTGTTTTCAACCTTTATAACTAGTGGCATGGATATGGACACATTTGTTTTCAAGCTTTAATTAGTGTGTATCAAGGCATGTCTTGGAGCTACAAATAATACTCCAAGGAAAAAAAAAACTTGCTCTCATGGTATAGTTAGTAATGTGAATTGTTCAATACTTCTAGCTAGAACTATTGGTTTTTATTCAGATACAAATATCCTTATACTACAACTAATGATCTGGATCTAAGTAACACTTGTCCTCAAGCAAGAAATAATGGCCTAGATCCAGGCACTTGTTCTCAAGTTAAAACTACTTTACTAGCCTGGATCTAGACACATTTGTTCACAAACTATAATTGACTGAATTTATTCACACTTATCCTCGAGCTACAACTAAATTCTAAATGCAAGTCCACAAGTCCTTACATCATAGCTAATGATGTGGATTTAGGTGCACATATCTTCAAGCTATAATTTGAAGTCTGGCTATGATGCATGCACCCTTGAGCTACATTTAAGGATTTGAATTTAAGCAATTCAATATATAATTAACAGCATGTATTTTGTACACATCTGCCCTTAAGTTAAATGAAGTAGTCTGGATTTCAGTCAACAGATCCTAGCATGATTTGAAGTTATGCACATATCTTTACTATATCACTAGTTTATACTTATACAAAAAGATTCTCGGACTACAACTAGCAGACTGATTTTAGGTACACACATCTTCCACCCATAACATGTAGTCTGGTTTAAAAAAACTTGATTTCATGCTATAGTCTACAGGTAGAAACACCAGTCCTAAGCTAAAAGTAAAACCCTACACTTAGTTCTCCTGTCTTCAAGCTAAATTGTACAGTTCCTGGTCTCAATTTAGCTTCACATCTAAAAGTAACATTACAGTATAATTAAATAATATTTTTTTAATATTCTGTTAACTACACATATATACAAGTTTATTAGTTTTCAATTCTTTTTTAGCCAGAGCACAGCGGCTCACAGAGTGCTGAGTTTTTTAGTTGTTTTTTTCCAAGTACAAACTTTTACCTCGTAGCTCTGTCATCCCTTGATCGATTTGAGATCTAATTGCAGTTTTGGATTCAGAAGACCAAACCTTTTCAATTAATGCATTTGACCACACCCAAGGTCTCATACATTAATTTACTCTAATCCTGCCTAAAAGAATTTCAGTTTGAGGGTAGGCTGATAGAGATCCTGATGAGTAAAGAATCGAATCGAGTAAATGCGCGCCCCACGCATGGTATTGCTGGCACACAAAAATATAGCTAAGAAAAAAAAAGGGCTCATAGATAAATTAACTCTAATCCTGCCTAAAAGAATTTCAAGTGCTGTGGCTATTAAGGATTACCTCATTTTCAGAAAGAAAGCTGTGCTTTTAAATTATACTTTCAAAACCTCGCAAAGGATTAGCAAAATAATTGTAGTAAGAGACATACTGACAGATAAAAATTAAATAAAACACAACATGAAAAGTTCTAGCCCATGTAAATTTCTTACAAGATCCCATTCCTAGTAAAATTTACTTTAAAATAAACGTTTAAAATCTGAAAAGAAAAAAAAAATCAGTGAAAGTAAACAGTAACTATTGCATCTTTAAAACATAAAACAGAAAGTAAGAGACTGATTCCTGTTAAAATTTAACAGAAAATCTTAGTCTCTAAGAAGTAATAATTATGCCTCTTTGATGACAAAATTGTCAAACCAATCCTTTCTTTTGTGCACTTGCTCATATAGATAATTTCTAGTTGTTGTGTACAATACAATGTCGATTAACAGGCACTTTGCCAATAAAAGCAAACCTTTTCAGTCTCTTTCTTTTTTTACTATTTGTAACCAAAATAAATCTTGCAATAATGGCCACCTCAATATTCCAGATTAAGGGCAGTGTCTTTAGTCTCATTCTCTAAACAGCCACTCGATAAAGCAGGAGGTTAACCCTTTTGCTGCAGGCAGGTTAAAGTGTACATGACCTTTCAGAGAGTTATTTTCAAAAATGTTATTAAGTAACTTTACTATTACTCATAACACTCTAAGTACTCAAACTCTTTGTTTTTCTAAGTATTTTTGCAGCTGATTTTGATGTCACTGAATTCAAAGCATCAAATGGTTGGCTCAATAACTTTAAAAACTGGCATCTAATCAGCACAGCAGATCTTTTGGGAAAAAAATATCAACCTGGACACCAACACCGTTGATTGATGGTGTGAACATCTTCCATCTTTGATCGAGAGTTACCAGGAAAAAGACATCTTCAACATGGATGAAACTGGCCTGTTTTATCGCAGTTTGCTGGATCGATCGCTTGTTGCACGTAGTTACCAACGGGCCAGAGGCAAAAAAAGTAAAGATCGCATCCCCAGTTACACTGTGTGCCAATGCAGTGGGAGAGTTTGAAAAGCCATTGGTCATCATGAAGATCCCCCCTGTTTTCATAATGTGCAGGAAATGTACAGCTGTCCTAGCAAAAGTGAAAACTGCAACAGAAGCAAACATGTAACAAAATGGCTATAAATGCATACACCAAACAAAATGGAGGGTCTTGAAATTCAGAAATTTAGTATGGTTATATGGAATCCAGCTTTGCATGGCTCCTTTTTGATATTAAGGGCACCTTGCTATAGAAGGCATTTGAATGCAGTAGGAAGTGCAGCCTTAATGTTGAGGTTCTACTGTATCAACAATATGTACTTTATACATGCGTTAAAAACTTTACTATGATTTTCCTTCAACAAATTAAATGTTACTAAGTGTCTCAAATATATAGTCTAAGAGGTGTATCAATAGAAAATATATTGTGACATACATTTGTTTTGTTCTTTCTACTAAGGGTTTACAATAGTATTAAAATGAATTGAATACCATGAATATAAAAATTAAGAAGAAATTTCTTGTATTGAAGAAGTATTTAAAAAGTACCATGTCATGGTTTTTACAAAATACTGCAGTGTAATATATAAGCCAAAAATAAAAGATAATTCGTTTTGGAATAAAAATGAATAAAATGCACACAATTAAGTATAATAAAAAAATAATCTATACTTAAAGCTATTTCTGTAATTTATCACATGCTTTCGTACACCTGTACATTTTTGAGAATACTGAATGGCAGAAATCATACGTCCTTTGAGGACAGTAAATAGAATGTAATGCTGAATCTTTTTCAATCCAATAAAAAATTATC